AGTGAGTGACACTGTAGGAATCCTTTGACTTTCCCCTTAGCTGAGCCCTCACTGTCTCTAAACTGAGACTTCCCTACCAGTGAAACAAAATTTTGGCCATGACCCACTAAACTGATATGACAGTCCAGTTTAAAAACTATTAAGTTAGATCCTGAAATCTCCAGGCTTCTTCACGAATTTTCCTGTCCCCCTTCAGCACATTGCCATTATCAGCCCACCTTGTATGTTAACTTAGATCACATTAGCTTGTACTTGAAACTTCTCATTTGAATCACAATCAGCTCTGGGATGTTCTGACAGTGTTCTTGCCCTTAGAATTTTTATGGAGAATAACATCTGCAACTCCATTTCACTTCCACTTCCCTGTATTCAGCCAGCCCAGACATGTCTACAAATTTATAGTGATTTTTAGTTGGAGAGTATCTCAACCAGGATGGGTTTGTAATGTTTAATGGAGTAAGCAGTTACTGAACATGTGCAGCATGCCTACTCCACACAGTAAATATATGCACAGGGGCCATCACTGCGCAGGTGGCTGCTTCTGGGCCATTAGCTGGAAATTATTCAGCAGACATCCATCATGTTGAACAAGCTACTTCTTCACTGCCACTTCATTCCGAGCCTTACCTCCCTGGAATTCTATAATTCTGTATTTCTTTGAAGTGTGGTTGTAAAGTCCCATCACTTCACAATACACACACATACAGAACAGTCTTAACAGTGGAACGCCCAGAGTAGCATGAGCATGTTTTGGGTGGAACAGAAAAGGGCTCAGAGCACAACAGAACCAAGTAAGCACACCCATTTGCCTTCATAAAATAACACTTTTGCATGGGACAGGTGTAAGGTAGAACTTAATTATGCAGACCCATCTGTGGGTGAAACAAAAGCAACTTGGGGGAAAGCGATCAATGCTATTTACTGAAGCCCCCATGCTGGTTTTATTAGCACTTAATGAAGAATAAAGAATACCAGACTGATTCCTCATCATAGGGAGATTCATAACACAAGTAAGCAACCCCAGATCCTCTGCTACACAGAAAAGGGGCTGGGCATTAGTCTTCTATCCTCAAGCTTGTCTTTTTAGCAAGTATTTGGATGAAGCCACAGATGGTATATTTATCTAATAATGCTGGGAGATGTGGCTGATGTACTGGACAAAATTTACATTCCAAATATAAATTCACACTCAAAATGTACTAGAATACTGGGATGGAACTGAACAGGAGAAAATCTGATAGATATAAAGTGTTCCCACCCTCAGGTTACTAAGTCACCTGTGCAATGAGGGGGGTCCACGAAAACAGGCATGGAGATTTGATAAGCCAACCACTGCACACCACTCCTAGACACATGTACCACCTTAGGGAGGAGACTAGGCATAGCAGCCCTAGAACAAGAAGCTGAATTTGTATTAGTTAGATCACATCTGCTGTATTAAGTACCATTCTTGTATGCCCCACTTTATACAGATCGTTACACACTGAAGGAAATCCAGAGGAAGGCAACCAGGGTACAGGAGGGTATGAAAATACACTGATACAAGGAACAGTTGGAGAAACTGAGGACTTATAGACAGAAGATTAGAAGACAAGACAACCGTCTTCAAATATCTAAAGTCCAGGGGTTGCCAATGGCCCACGATGCTACAATTTGATGATTAAAATGAATACCTGACAGTAATGAATTATAATCCATCAGCTACTCAAATAAACCATGAGCCAATGCTAACAACAAGTATCTAAGCCTTAGATGCTAAGGGCTAACAAATGGAAAGAGGAGTAAAGTTGCTCTGTTTACACACAAGTAAGTTGAAGCTACATCTATTCAGCTATAGTATAGAAAAGAACCTGCTGATAGTCAATGAACAAAGAGGGCAGAATTCTACTCAAGAAGTAGATCCTCACAACCTGTTAAATAATTGTGTACTCATATTCATAGCGTCTAAACTTTTGTTTTCCCTCAAATAATGGTGGAAAATTAACCCTTACTGAATGTCTTATAGGTGCCAAGTAAATGTATTTTACTTAATCTTCCCAAGGACTCAGTGAGATGGGTATTACTTGTCTTATAGATAGAGAAATTAAGGCACAGCAACTCACACAACATGACACAGAGGGCAACCACCAGAGCTGGGATTTGAACCCAGATGTGTCTAAACTCCTTCCACCCCACCACAGCACACAAAATACACACAAGGTGATTGGAGAGGTCCTAGGGCCCCACAGCTCCTCAAGTTGGTCTGTCATGACTCTTTAATGGTTACGTTTTCCTCATCTACCCAATATAGCAGGGCTGTGCTCTAATTCCTCTGGATTAAAAAAGGAAGACTGGGGCCTTTTCTAGAAACCCATTGTTAAAATGACCCTGATCCCTGTGGGGTGAGTCACAGCTGCCCTGTTGAATATGATTCAGTTTAGCTGAATCAGTCCATTTGGTTACCTTGTTCTTCTTCAGAGTCCGTTCACCTGACTATTTGGAAACCAACAAGACCAGTTTCCGGGTCTTCTGGTACAGTTAGGGGAAGGCTTAACACTGTTGACATCTATGAAATCAAAGATCCCACTTAATGGTTTGCCTGATGAAAGGGAGTGTAGGAGGACATATGGCTGTCCTGGTATCACTGTTCTGTGTTAGAAGAGTAAGAACATTCTAAATTACAGTGCATGGTCACAGACAGGCCCTCTATTTTATTCTGAGAGTGTGACTATTTCTAGGTGATTTTTCAGGTTTCAGGTACAGAACACAGAATCTCTCAAGATCTCAAGACCTGCTGCCCATGTTTCCCAGGGTCTGAGAAGGGATTTGGGGGTTCCTGTTCCCAACAAGCCAGGTTCTCCAGCTGACTAATGCTTTCTGCTTGGAGGTAAGGGAACTTCTAGATTTCTTTAGCACATTTAAAAATACAATGTTTGTATATCTGGCTGCTTTCAGACCAGCTGTTTTAGCTGCCCCTCAATGCTGGAATTTTCTGAGATCAGGTACTATGTTCCTTCTGTTCATTCCCAAGTCTTTCCCAAGCATCCATGTGTGCTGTGGGCCCAGGACATCAGTGAAGCAGACAGACAACCTTGCCCTCATCAGGGCTTAACGGCCTGGCTATAGAGACACACATCAAACGAAAATTACACAAAGAAGGATTCACATTCAACAAATAGTCCACATCACTCTATAGTATCCAGCACAGAGCTCGGCACGTGGTGGGTGCTTTTTCACGAATATGTGACTAATGTTTTTATGGAATGTGTAGAAAGACCGACCAGCCAAGTTAATCTTAGCATTGGGAGTACAATGCCTTGGCTTTGAGAGTGAGGGAAAAACGTGACAGTGAAGCAGAATGATCTGGGTTCTAGTTCCTTCTTTTCCACTAATGACTAGAACCTTCTTGGTTGAGTCACTCAATCTTTCTGGGCCTCAGTTTCCTTATTCATAGAATAACATGTAAGTAACCAAGATTCTTTGTTAACAGTGACATGCCTGTCATCAGAAGTGTTCTAATCTAGCCTCACTTACCTTGCCAGAAGACAAGGAATGGCTGGAGCCGAAGACAAGACAAATGCCCTGCGTCTAGGTCAGGGCTGTGGGAGGATGGAGTAGCAGCTGGAAGGGATGGATCCCCTGGGCTAACAGGCTCTCTCTGAACATGGGAAGCATTGCATTTTGCTTCCCACCCACTGACTGTTTAAAAAGAAACACTCATTTGTGGGATATTCTAGGTTACATTTCTAAACAACACATCAAAGGAGAAAGGGAGGTACAGGAATAGTTTTCTTTGTATGTTTTTACACGTGGAAAAAAACAATTTTCCATCCACTTTGATAGTCAAAAATGGCTTAGAAACTTGAAGGCAGGACATCAGACAGAATTAGCTTGAATGTCCTTGAATATTAGTCTAGAGTGTGATTTAGCACCATGATCTTGGAAACCATGGGGCACAGTCTTTTTTTTCCCCCAGTAAGAAAAAAAATTTAGGAAAAATCCTAATGAATGTAGATCATCTTTAAAAAAACATAACTTAGAAAACAAAAATGAAGCAAGGACACAGCCTGTTGCCTGAGGCTGAAGGACTAGGCCAACATATTGGGTCTTGATAGACTAGGGCCAAATAGTCTTTGGAAATCCATACCTTCATTCATAAAATCACTAATATGCTGCAAAAGATCATTTCATACCCTAACACCCTGAGGTAAGCAAATGATTGTAGGGTTAGAGACAAAAATCTTCCTGTCTCTGCTGCAAATTTAGACAGCTGAATTCTTCCCCTCGCTTGAACAAATACATAGGGTCTCTGCTACAGTCTCCTTTCTTTCACTGCCTCCAGAGCTACTAACTTCTTGCTTATTTGCTCCAAAATATAAGAGACCAAGCGACCAGGCTTTCTTGCAAGACTATTACATCCCTCCAAGCTGCTTCACGCACTACCACTTCTTGGTCCTCTGTGCCTCAGGAACTGAGCCCTGATACTCTGGCCCAAGGAAGGCATCATTTCCACTGGAGCCCCTTCGGAAAGAAGGCCCTTACCAAACAGCATCTCTGTGGCCATTTGCCAAATCACTGGTCTTGGTCTAATTTTAGATGATTCCATTCAACCATTATAAATAGGAGCCAATCATAGCCACTAAGGTCTCAGGAAACTATCCCAGCCTCAGCGCCCTGAGGTCCAGCCTCCCACGAGGCAGAGCCACCCAAGCCGCCCAGTGGGACATCTCTAGAGGACGGGAGACCCAGACCCTCTCACCCTTCAACTTTGCTCCTTCTGCTAAACTCTCAAGACAGGAGAGGTCTGGCTGATCACCTGGTCTTTTGTCCCCTCAGACGACATCTCCACACTATGACATAGCTCCTCCAGCCCTGCTCTTTCCACTTTGGTTGGCACAAAGAAACAACCGGTTCCTGAGGCTGGGCTCCATAGTGGGAGAAATTCCTCTGAGGGTAACTCTCCAGGGGTGGTTAAGCCAACAAGAAGTCTTGGGGGAAGGAAGGTTGGGACACTGTCCTACCTTGTCACTGTCCACTGTATTCTGAGAGGTCCTAGAGGCGATAGAGATGGTGTCTGGCTGGCTGCTTCCATCCCCCTGGCTGTCAACATCCTCCACTCCATCCCTGCAGGAAGAAGAGAAAAAAAAAAACAGGGGTGGGGGTGGGGGGAACCACTGTGGGTTTAGAGCACACTAGGATTTCCAGCTGTGCTGGCAGAGCAGAGTCTCAGCACTTTCGAACAGGGATTTGTCTAAAATTATCCCACTAAAAGGAGCAGCCCTATGTGATTTTCGAAGATGTCACCTTTGCACTTAAGCACACAATCCCTGTGCTGATAACTGAACACAGAATGATTCCCCCACACCATAACTCCTCTGGCCCATGGTATAGAGGAGGCAGTTATTTATTTATTTATTACTGGGAATGGGTCTATAATAGGCAGTAGGAAGAGGTATATTCTACTTAGAACCAAAGCTTCTATCCAGCTGACTGGGTGATCTCTGACAACCCCAGAGTTTAAAGTGTTCAAATAGTTTTTCTGCATGCTGTAAGAGGATAGGGGTTAGTTTATAGCTGGCTTATAAAGAAAACAGAGCTGATAAGATATTTTGACTTGTATTTCTTCTGCTTAAGAAAACGACATGAGATATTCCTCCAGAGGAGATAATCTTTGGGGAGTTCCTGATGCTGAATGCTCAACTCCTGTGTATGGAGGAAGAGATTATTTCCTTCAACTTGGTGGGTCCTGTTGACCTCATGCCTATTTATGATGACTTCTTATCAACACAAAGGCATCATCTCAAAGATCACAGATTCCACAGTAGCTTTTTGAGTCAGCTTGCTCCTGAGCATCCGGTAAGGTAATCTCTTGAGTGTACTCCCGGCATATGGCCTTCCTGGGCCACTGGACCATTTAGCTGTCTCACTTACATATCCCTTCAATTCTCCAGCTTAAGAATTATGTCTCAGTCCTGCACTGAATGCATAGCCAGGGCAAAAGGGATTAGATGCCTGGGAACTGGTGAGGCTGGGTGGTCAGTGTCAGGAAAAACTGAAGGAGGTGTGGGCCAGGGACATGGACATGGAAAAATTAGCACAAAACTTGACAGTTCTTCCCAGCTTATGAAGGTTACTCCCCTGATGCTACTTATGGAGAAGTAATGGCATCAGGAAGTTGCTGCATAAGGATGACACCACATGGACAAAATTCCCCATATACTGAAGCCGCCTCACAGAGTCTAGACAATTATGATCTGGTGTACATGGACGTTAGTGTGCATGCGGGTACAGTATCTTCTAGTCACCAAAAAGTGCCTTCTCCTGCTCAGAACACTTCTAGGTCAACTGCTTTCTCACTGCCACTTACGGGCTGGGAAATGCCAACTTATTTTAATAATGTAAGCCACACATTCATAGGAAGGAAATTCTGCTGTAAAATGAAATTCCGTGATGCATTTCAAGACCAGGAATAAAGGACTTGTAGATCATCTGCTGTTTTAGATATCTGGGCCGTTGCTCCCTGCCATGTGCACAGAGTTGAGAGTTGGCTGTACTTTGCGCTTCCCACCATTCTGGCCCATCGTGGGCCCTTCTGGTCCATTGCAGATGAAGCCAGTTCTGAGGGAGGTGGGGAGCCCATCCAGGAGTGTGGGTAGTGTTCTCCAAGCCAATTCACTCCTCCGTAAACTCTGTCCCCATATCTTGGGAGCCAAGCTAATGAAATTACAGACAGCCTGACTGTTCTCTGCAGAATCTGCCAAGGCTTTTCACCCTCCTATTTCAGGACAATGACAGAGAAAAGGTGGGAGGCATTTCCAAGATATGTCCACCTCATGTTCTATAGATGCTCAAACTCTGCTACGTAGGAAAAAGGGGCACTTTCACAGGGAAACTTGAGCCAACCTCACCTGAATATCCTTTCCTGCATGCTCCTGGACATTGAGTTCATAACATTTCCACTCTACCTTCTATATTAAAGTAGAGGCCTCCTACAGCAGGGTCTGCCTCTAGTGCTAAAGTAAGTCTATTCCATCCCTGGATCCTGGATGCAGGTAACTGAAATGCAAACAATTCCTCCTCCAACACATTCATAATTTGTCCTTCCAGCACTGAGAGGTGACTTTATTCTGGCCATGCAGGTTTGGGGGCTTCTGTCCTGTGGTGGTATCTCTCCCTACCTTAGTCACACCCTTCTTTGGGCTACCACCTGCCTTTGTACTAATGCTACTATCCACAGGTCCTCAGTTAATGCATCCTTGTTGGCACCAAAAGGTCAACTAAATCCTTGTGATTTACCCTGTTCACGAATAGGGGAGGAAAGGAGAGCCTGTTGCCGTCAATGACTATTACCCCAGAACTCTGTTTTGTTTTGTTTCAAAGTTAACATGATGGTTTTGAATGCTTTCTTTTGAAGTGCCCTCTAAAAGAGTCATTGTGAGTGACTGTCACATGGAGGCTTGTGAAAGGAACACCTAGGAAGTCTTCCACCAGTTTAGGGCAACTGGGATTCAGGAGGGCCCAGAGAGATAAAGATACAAAAAAATCAGTCCCCCTGCTTATCTCAGATACATGAAGGTGAGGACTCGAGGGTTACAGAAGAGCTGCAGTGATAACCCCATCATACTATCCCCTACCCATTACAGTATGCAAAACTCATTTACTGTCTTACACAGTCCACTTAGGCCCCCCTCCCTCCCAAAGCCTTCCCTGGACACTCCTCTCAAGTGCTCATCTAAAGTCCCCTCTGAATGAATTTTTACAGCATTTACTGTCCCCATCAGCAGCACTGGTTCTTCTAGTCTAACCATTCTGCATGGGAGACACAACTGTTAGATGGTTCTCGAGGGAAGGGACTCATCATGCATCTTCCCCTTCTCTTCTCAGAGCACCCAGCAGAGTGTCTATGAAATAAGAGGTGCCCAATGAAGCCCTGCTGAATTCAATTGACAGTTACTGGTGAGATGCTTAAAGAAAAGATTGCTCATCTTAGATGGGACTTCACAGAGAATGGTGCCAACTGCACAGCACACCCCTTCTGTGGAAGCAGAGGGCGACCCCACTCCCAGTGCTGAGAGGAGAGACGCTGGTTACCTCTTACTATTGTTCCTCTGTTTGGCTGGTGTTTTGGGGAGTTGAATTGGCTCCTTTAAAGCTCCTTTCAGGTGAATGATCCTCTCTTGAATCACCTCTCGAATGTTCTTGATCCACTCCTGCTTGGTTTCTATGTTGGAGGCCTGGAGTGCCACAGAGAGAAACAGTAAACACCCCATCTTCCTTTGTTCTCAATCCTCCTCCTGCAGGCTTAACCCACTACTTTTAAGGACACCAAATGTTTGAGGAATTCATTTCTATTTTACGCATATGACTCTTTAATTCTTCTGCAACTCCTAGAATGGGGCTATAACCTCAAGACTCAATGGACACTTGCACGGGGGTGATTTTCAAAGTATTTAATGCTCCACATGGCACTGACCAATACTGACATCTGTCCTGGTGTGGGAGCATATGTGGAGGTCCCCCCGCCGGGCCAGGGATGAACACATCAGTTACCAGATGCTGGGAGTTCTGGGGAACACTGGAGATGTAGCAAGGGGCATTTGAAGGCAGTGGCTATTCACCAAGTGGTATGGGTCTATATCAGCACATTCAACTCCTAGCATGGCTACATAGGCTTATGCTGACTGAAAGTCAATGCTGGGTTTTTAGCCTGGTAAACATGTTAATTGAAGGCACTTCTACCATCTCATAAGTATCCCATTTGTCTTTGTGGAATTTTTTTCAGGTAATTCTGTCTGATGGCAGGCGGCGGCTAGGCAGGCAATTCCTAGTGAACAAGTGTGAAGCATTTGTCAGGGTTGGACCATCTTTTCCTTGGTGATAGCCACCCACTGATAAGCAACTGACTGATGGGTGCCCCATCCGCAGGACCCCTTCTTGGTTAGATGTACGTTACCACGAGCATATTCCCAGGCTGTGTGAGCTCTGGAAAGTTAGAATGACTCCTTAAGGCCCTCATCTGGAGAAAGGCCCTTTCTTAGTACTCCTTTCAATCAACATAATTCCCTTGCTAGTGTGATTTATGAGAGCTTCTAGAATGTAAGTTTCCAGAGGACAAGGTCCATCTCTCATTTGTAGTTACAAGCAGCACTGAGCAGAATACCTTCTATGTAGGTGTTCAGGAAAAAGTATTGAACGCACGTGGATCAAATCAAGGTACCTTTTGTCAAATGGTCAGTTGTCCTTGCCCTTGAAGGGGACACGTGGACAGAACATATCTAAGTGGGCCCTGCTGAGGAAGCGCAGCAGCTACTCCCTGCATCCCTCCCTCTTCATGCGCTTGAGGGGATCGACTTAGGGGACCACGGATCTTTGAGATTTCAAGTCTATGTCCATGATAGAACTTGCTTTTTGATACCAATGTGATACTGCCCTTCCCGGTGGAGTCTCCAGGCCCCACCTTTCAGGAATCATGTGCCCCAGCCCCCTGCCTTTCTCCTGCCACCCTCAACCCTCAACCCAGCCCCAGTGGAGAGCAGTACTTACTTTCAGCACTGTTTTATTGTCTGAGGAAGGGGTGCGCCCAGACCACAAGGCGAATTTGCAGGGATCACCTTCTACGTGCTCCGTCACACCCAGCTCTGAGGTCTGTAGACAGGAAATGCCTGTGAGAGGCGGGGAAGGGGAGGGCAGTGGGAAACTTAGGGCTGGGGTGGGAAGGGAAAGGTGACAAAGAGGAGAGGACCGAGGGAGGGGCTTCTGTCAATCAAACTTCAACAGACTGGAAGCTTTGTTCCTCTACCCAGGCTGAAAGGATCTACAAGCACCTGCCTGATTAGCAGGTTGCAGGGAGGGAAGGTGAAGAGGGAGGCGCTAAAAGCAGACATCAAGAAGAACGATGGACTCTAAAATGCAGAAGGGGTAGTCGAGGGGGCAGCTTTCCAAATAGGAGGCATTTTCATTTGTCCAGGATGGTTTTGGTGTGGCACCAGGGGAGAGATGAGCTGAGTGTTCAAGAGCCCTTCCTGCCCAAAGGCTCTATGACAACAGGGAGACTTGTCTTGCCCCACCTGCCCCACCTACCAGTAGCTTGTTCTTGTAAACATATTTCGTGTGTCCTGAAGAGTCTTTGATCTCCTTGCTAAAAACCAAGGAGATCTCAAAGAGGAACAAGTGCCGCTCTCGCCCCTTCCGGATCAGTGACTTTGGGTCCCACACTTGAAAGGCATCCTGGAGAATCAGCTCCCCCTGCACATCCAGGTTCTCGTCGAACCCTGAAAGACACCCATTTCCACCCTGTGGAGTTTCTGTAGCACCCCGTCTGGGTGCCATGGTCCACTCCCCTCTTGGAAAGGTCTCCCTGACTGTGAGCATTCCGTTCCCACATCGCTTTCTCTCTCTGATTCCTGACACTCCTAAATACTTGAGTAGATAGCTCTAGGGAACTGTAATCAGATCTCCCTTTCTGCACCAGTCTCCTACACATAACCAGTATCAGTGGTATCTTCTCAAAAGCCTGGGACCTCCTGCAAGGGCAAACCCCATATCACCTTCTTCCTCTACAGCTCCCCACAGACTTGGGCTCCGAGCTCTGACTGGGGTTGAGGACTGTCTGATGGATGGAGTGCCCTCGACTTCACTTTATTTGTCATTGCTGTATTTCTTACAGTCCATTCCCAGGACTCTTCCCTTTGATGGCTCCTGTCCAATGTGGTGCACAAGCCTTTAACAGCTATATTTATTCCACTTTAAATTTGAACAGGGGTTCTGAAACTTAGTGTGCTTGAGAATCACCTGCAGAGCTTGTCAAAACACAGATTCCTGCCCACTCCTGCCCCTAGAATACTGGGATTCGGTAGCTGTGGGGTGGAGCCCAGGAATTTGCTCTTTTGACAAGCTCCCAGGTGTTGCTGCTACTGTTCCACATACTTGGAGTAACTGGATCCAGAATACAGGTCAGGAACAGGCTGGAGGAGAAGGGTGCTAACAGATGAGGACACCCAGGGCTGGGGATGGGGATGGAGTGCAAACAGAAAAGGGGGCAGAGAACTGTGGCAACAGGAATATGTTCAGATGGTTAGTGCTCAGTCTGGAGAAGGTAACCAGGGCTCTGCTATATGATGAATTATAGCTTCCTATATTCAGAGTGGCCCAGGAAGTAGTGAGATCAGACCAAGATTAGAGGTGGGGGAGGTGGGAGGGAAGGTGATGGTGAGAGATGGAGTCCAGAGGAGAAAAAACAGCCCACTACTCTGCATATTTACAGCAGAGTACACTGATCCCCCTTAACATCTGTTTTCCAGGCCAGACTGGAATGTGGAGTCTGAACTCATCCGACAACTTCCGCCCCAGTGCAACTGCTCTGCTCCTCTGTTCTGTGGTGTTAAGGGCATTTTATTGGAGTCTCACTCTACCAGGTTTCTGGGTCCCAAGACCATGGTTCCAGTGGACTAAATGTACATTGGTGAAGTCCTATCAGGTCTGTCTGGCTGGACTTTTCTCACCTGCTAGGAAGGCCGTAAGGATGGTTGCTCACCAATGTGAACATCAATGTGAACCCAATGCCACTGAACTGTGTGCTTAAAAATAGTTAGAATGGTAAATTTTATGTTATGTATATTTTATTACAATAGAAGAAAAAGAAGAACATAAGGCTGGAGACCTTGGATGTATGTCCACATGCATGCAGGACTTCTACTCATTCTGATGACAAATGCGATGCAAATGCTATTGCAGATGAACAGGACTGCTGTGGGTCAGGGTTCTAGCACATTTATAGTAAGGATGATGGCCTGTCCTGGACTACCTCCCATGCAGTGAGTTATCCACATATCCAAAACAGCTGAGGTCTGATTCTACCTGGAGGCAGGTATTGATCGAGTTGGCCCCTGTGGAGCTCCTCTCACACCTCCTGAGGACCTATGTAACAACTTGCCATTTCTCCTCTCTTCCAGCCTTGCCCGTTGCCTGACGTCATGCCACTTCCTTCCCACAACACAAGCTCCCTAGTCTTAGGAAAGGAGGAGGCCCCCCAGGGAGGCTGGGAAGACAGCTACCTTCCAGCATGCTGACATGCATGGCATCATTGGCTTTCTTTGGGACACTGAGCATCACCTCCAGGCCATCCTTGAGCTCTCCCTTCCCTTCTTCACAGCAAGTTAAAAGTTCCTGGGGAAAAAGTCCAGACACAATTAGAGCCATTTGCCCCAGCTTTCCCACCCTCCCACCACCTAACCCATCAAGGTGATTACAGACCAACTTCGTTCTCCGTAATGGTTTCCTGTAAGCTATAAGAAAAGTGGGGTGGGATGGAGAGTTATCTCCAAAGGATTCTACCACTATATTTTTTCCCTAGACTTAGCAACAGACATCTACTTCTGGCACCACATTTATTTATGTACCTCTTCTCCCTAAATGCTGACTTCCCACCATACTGGGAGCAACCTGGGCTCATAGACATTATAGGTTTATAGCATTTCAGAGTTATAACATATTTTTAGATCATATAAATCAGGAGTTCATACCTTGGGACCAGTATATGGGGTTCTGGACTAGTTCTTTTTAAATCTTAAATCTAGAATCTACCCACCATGCCAACCCTATCTCCCCCATGACGTCCACCATGCCGAGGCTTCTCAGAGCATGCCCTCTCTTACTTCCTCACTGAAGACTAGGTCAGTATTCTCTCCACAAAGACATATAGTATCTGGTTGATGGAGAAAAAATAATCTTCAACTATCTTAAAAATTCTAAGGGCCATTTGGAGTGATTTTGCCCAAACCAGAGGAATACTGGCATTCATTTTTCCTATGAGGGTTATTGTATTTTGTTCGTTTTGACACTTTTGACACTTAACAAAACAGTTAAGCAACAGATCTGCAATCCATACCCTCTCCTTCTGTAGGGGCTGGTGAAGGCAGAGGATGGGTGGATGGGGTAGAGATGCACTTCCAGGAAAGAAAGAAGTTGACCAGATCAAACCCTGTAAACATGTCAGACTTCCTGGCTAATGGTAGTACCTAGCAGGAAAGTCCTTATCTATGGAATGCTTTTAGTAGGATATATCTGGTTTGTCTAGAACTTCTTACGGTAAACAAACCTGGAATCTATGGCTTTAGGGGCATGGCTCCCTGTAAGATATCACATATGCTATGCAACTATCTAAGTAAACAGTATGTTTCATAAACAAAATGGCTCTCTTCAGGGTAAATGATATTATACAAGATATACCATTTAGAAAGTCTGTGTGTTAGTCTGGGCCACAGCATATCCTGATGCTCCAAGAAAGGGCTTAGAGCTGTTGATGGTTCTGGACTTCTCTCTGCGTTATCTCTTCCTCGGGATTATTTGTATCCTTGAAATTATTAGTAAAAGCTTTATACTTGGTAAGATATCTGATTAGTGAGCATCTGACACGAAAGTACAATCCTTTGTGTCATCTCGGATACAATCCCATATGAAGAAGGGAGCTTTGAGTGCCCAAAGGAGAGGTGAACTGCCTCAAGCATGTTGGGGAGGCAGAAGTGATCAGTTCTCAGCTCGGTCCTTGGTTCCAGTTGGTATAATGGCATCACTGTTCAGAAAGCTGCACTTACTTCTGCCAACCTGAAGTTCTCTGACTCTCCCCAACCCTTTCCTAATTTTAACTCTCCTGACCTTGTTTCCCATACATCCTCAAAGGAATTTCCAGGCAGAAGCACAAGAGACAAATAAGAAATATATGCTTCAGTGTGCAATAGAAAATTCCAAATGGTTTAACCCCCCAAAGCAGTGTGGCAAGTCCATCAATCAACCACCCAAGCCCATAAATTCTCCTTGGATCCTTGCTATACTTGTTATTAAAGAGAAAGCTCCAATTTAATTTAGACTTCAAAGGACATCTGTAGCAGATTTACATGGAGAATATTGAACACTAACTGACAGATAGTTTTGACTTTCATGCAACACCCAAAGTGAGGAATCCCAGAGGATACTGATAATTAAATATCAGTTTATTTGGAATAAAAGTGTCTTTAATGAGAAAATAAATCCCATATTGTTTATTTATAGTAAGAGCTCAGCAAACTGAGCTTTTACTCCACAGTACTCTGCTACCAATGCATTTATAAGAGGTCAAAATTACCTTGGTAAATCTTTTTACAGATTTTCCACAAATTCCCACTACTTCATTTTTTTTTTTTCCTTCTCAGTTACCTGCACAGTCATCTCTTCCTAAAACATCCAGTTACAGAGTGAAGGGCCCAGAGCCCACCCACCCATCACCTAAAGCAAAACACAGGGCAGCCTGTCCGTCCTCCACTTTCCTCTCTTATCTGTGTCACATAATTATCCAGGGAACTTCAGCCCTGTGGGATTAAAAGGGAGAGCTGAAAAGCTATATTTCTTTTAGAACTGGATCTTACGTTTTAAAAAAAATTTTTTTAATTATTTATTTTTTGAAGGAGAGAGACAGAGCACGAGTGGGGGAGGGGCAGAGAGGGAGACACAGAATCTGAAGCAGGCTCCAGGCTCTGAGCTGTCAGCACAAAGCCGGACATGGGGCTCAAACTCATGAGGCAGGCAAGCCGTGAGATCATGACCTAAGCCGAAGCCAGACGCTTAACCGCTTAACTGACTGAGCCACCCAGGCGCCCTGAACTGGATCTTACTTGATTTAAGGCATTGGCAAAGTGTGGATGGGCAAGTTTCTGTTTTGTTTTGTTTTACTTTTTAATTCACAACCCCACCAATTCCTTAAAAGCTTTGAGATGCTTAAATTTAATAACCACAAACGTGAATTTTAAAAAATCTTCCAGTACAAGAAAACTCATTTTAAAGGGTCAAGCGTTAAATGGGATAGGGAAGGAGAGGATCATTACACACAGAAATCTGGGCTAAGGAGAAACCAGTAACAATACAGTAGTCGTAATAGGACTCAATGCTAATTGTCTGATAGTCAAAGGCAAAGAAGGAGCGAAAAGCTCTTGTGATTTAAAGGTAGAGAGTACACCAATTATTTAGGAGAGAACCCCCACACCCTACTCTGAGATCTTATGAGAATTTCTGTGAGCCTTTATATAAAGAACTTTAAAAAACAAAGATGACATCTTCAAAAGCAATTCTGCCAAAACAGCCAAGATGTTCTGCACATTGTTACTTCTCACATGAGTTCTCAACAAAGGCCAAGGGCATGATGCCGTGTTGTAACTCTCTAAGCCATTTCTGCAGGGCTGGATGACTTGAGTGCCTGGAAGCAGAAGCCCAAAATGTCTCTTCTTGGAGACGAGGAAAGAGAAGGTTTGAAGGCAGAGGCAGGAGGGAAAGGGTGGTGCTAGTCCCTGACCTGACCCTCAGTGGGGAAGAGGTCCAGGGCATGGGCTCATGGGGCCCCATGGGGGCTCATGCTCTTCTCATCATGGAATCACATGTGCTAAGCAAGGAGACCCTAGTGGCTGTCCGTGGGCACCTCCAGTGTGACCAGAAACCTAGATGTGAAACTAGACTGGTTTTCAGGTTTAGTGAAGCTAGAATATCTGGGATTCTGCAAGCACCTCTAAACATGAGTTGAATTTCAGCAGATTTTCTCTGGAGCTATACTACTTACAACATGCCTCTCACTATCCCTTTATCCTTTGCATTTGAGGAGCAACCAGCCAAATATTCACACTCAGGGAAAACTCTACCCTTACACCTTGAGAATTAATATACATAGGGGCTATATAACTGCTTATAATATCGATTTCCCAGGCTTTCTGTGGGGGAAATGTCACATCTTCAGACTGCCGGTGTATCCTTCTCTGAAGAAGCAGCCCACATTACTTACTATTTTACATAATTTGATTATTTGAATTTCAAAGAAAATATTTTGGAGAAAACCCAAATCTGTTTGCTTGGCTCCAAAAGAACCCCTACCTAACATATGGGATCCTCCAGACACAAGAGTGTCATTGTGTTTTAATATGCACTCTTTGAGTGTTTTCTCTCAAAAACCTCATAGTCTTGATAAACACAGAGATTAAGGCAATGGTAGATGCCACCCTGGGCCTCCACTCTCTATGTTGACTGGCAGTGTCCCCTTGACCCCTGACAGAAGGAGGGACCACCAGGAGGAATCTGTCCCAGGAGGGAAGAGCAAGTGAGGCCCTAAGTGTCAGCCAAAACTGCTCCAAACTGTGCAGTGGTGGGCAGGTATGAAAGCAGTCAAAACGTGTTCCTGCTCTCATTTCTCCTCTGTCCCCCAGCAAATAAACACCTAGAGTTTCACAGCATAGGTCATGCAGTCTGGGAGCCAGCAAAGCCAATGGGGGTTCACCTCTGAAGTTCTGCTCTAGATGGAGGAAAGGTCTTGAGATGGAAGCTTTCCTATCCTGGGCAAAGCTGGGGCTCCCTGGACCTGATCAGTAGTGCAGGAGGAGGTGCCCAGAGGGGAGGGGAAGTACCTTCAGGAGCAGCTGGTACTTGGTGATCCTCTGGACGGGCTTGATTAGGTAGGAAGAGATGGAGTTGGCCAGACCGTGCCGCTGCTGTATCTCCTACAGGGATGAAAACAGGCACCATGACATACAAAAGGGTGTGTATATGCATGTGTCTTGGGAGGAAGTCAGTGGTGTGAGAAGAGAGCAAAAGGAAAAAGGGTAGAAAATTATGAGGAACCGTTCTTTGATGGGGAGAGAACCAAGAGAGACCAAGACGAACACACAGAGAAAAGGAGAGGTGGTGAAAGGGGAGGAGCTTTAGGGAGAGAAAGCAGATTTGTGTGTCAGAAATGAAACTTATAAAGAAATGGGGAAGGATAAAAGTGGAAAACGAAAGTGAGGAGGTAACAGCAGACAGAAGGGTAAAGGAGAGGTGGTGAAGCAGAAAGTGAAAGGAAAAATCAACCCAGAGCGGAGGTGATCACAAGGGGCTAGCGGGACGATGAGAATAAGGGCATGGGGCTCGGATTTCTATGCCCATGGCTCCTGAGTCTTCCTCTCCCTCAGTCTCCTTAAAACAGCATGAGGGCATGTCTCCTTTACCATCCCTTCTCTCTTCAACTTAGACCCATCCCAACCCAGAATCATCACTGTATTCTTTACAACTTCTTCATTGTGATCAATGGCATCTCCCTCATTCAGGTCTCTTGAGCTGATAGCCATGGAGTCATTTTTAGTTGTTCTCCTTGTGTTATCCCCAGTGACAAGTCTTTCCTCTCCACGCCATTCATGCCCAAGCTACACCCATGACCTCCAGCTGCTGTTTGGGTCTCTAGCCTCTCATTTTAGACCATTCTCTATCCTGCCTCCAAAATGACCTTCCACGCCACAAGGTGTAGGTGCTGTGAAGGTTAGTGAAGGGTCCATGTAGTCCCCTTGCCTCAAGAACCTTACACACCAGGTGGCTGAGAATACTCACACACATAAATAGCAACAAAGGAGATGGAAGGTATTCCCAGCAAGAACAGAGAGCAATGACTGGGCCCAGGAGTGATGGATGGCTTAGTAGAGATAAAGCCTTCAGCTGAGGTTTAGAGGATAAGTGGGGGTGCGGAAGTGCAAAGCTGGACGAGTGGCATTCTATAAATGGAAATCATATAAAAAATGCACAGGAAATAATCATTGGGTATTTATATGATAATGAGGACCATGCAGAATGGTATAGAGGATGTACACCTGGAGTCCAGGAAAAAATGAAAAATACAGTCAGATAAGCAAGATATATTTAGGCCATTGATAGGGTTGAGCTAGATTAAAAAAAAATTAGGATTTGGTGGTGAGCTTCTCAATGGAAAAGTACTGTAGATTTTAAATAGGAGAAAAACATGGTGAAAGCGATGTCTCAGAGAGAGCAATATTTAGCCTAATAACAAGATACAGGGCGGAGGTTGGGATATAGAGATGGAGAAACCAGTTAGGAGGTTGTTGAAAAATCCCAAGTGTGTAAACACAGAGTTACCATGCGATCCAGCAATTCTACTCCTAGGTATATACCTGAGAGAAATGAAAACATACGCCCACACAAAAACTTATATACACTGTTTACAGCAGTATTATTAATAATAGTGAAAAAGTGGATACAACCCAAATGTCCATCAATTGATGAATGGAGATATACAATGTGAGATATCCATGCAATGGGATATTATTTGGCCATGAGGAGGAATGCAGTCCTGATATATGCTATAACATAGATGGACCCTTGAAAGCATTATGCTAAGTGAAAAAAGTCAGTCACAAAAGAATACATATTATATGATTCCATTTTTATGAAATGTCCAGAATAGGTGAATCTGTAGAGACAGAAAATGTATCATTGGTTGTTTAGCACTAAGGACAGGTGGGAGGATAAGGTGGGGTGATGGCTAAAGGGTGTGGGGCTGCTTTTTGAGGTGATGAAAATGTTCTAAAATTGACTGTGGAGATGGTTGTACATATCTGTGAATATACTAAAACCATTAAAGTGTTTACTTTAAATATACATATAATGTATAGCTCTATCTATCTATCTATCTATCTATCTATCTATCTATCTATCTGTCTATATCTGTAGGTGTGTACCACGGGCTTGTCCTAGGCTAGGGTTAGTAAGAACAAAGCACTGGGAGGAATACAAGAAACATTTAATTAATTAATTAATCAATTCATTAATTAATTTAATGTTATTTATTTTTGAGGGAGGGAGAGTTTGAGCAGGGGAGAGGCAGAGAGAGGGGGACAGAGGATCTGAAGCAGGCTCTGCTCTGACAGCAGAGAGCCTGCTGTGGGGCTTGAACTCATGAACCGTGAGATCATGACCTGAAGCAAAGTCGGGTGCTTACCCAACTGAGCCACCCAGGCGCCCAAGAAACATTTTAAAGTTATGTGAGAGAGGACTTGTCATGTGGCCATGGAGGAAGGGGAAGAAGAGGGAATAAAAAACAATTTTTGCATTCCTGCCAGCTATCCCAGAAAAGTAGCAACTTCCTCACCCGTGTGCCTCTTCCCTAGAGGTGTGGAGTTCTAGCTGGACTTGTCCAAGGGTGATGGGCAAAAGAGCTGGCAGCCTGACTCTCTGGACAAAGGAACATCGTCAGTTTACTTGGCAGCTCTGGCAAGAGAGCACCGGCAATAGGGCACCTTTGACAGCCGTCCATCTCTGCCAGCTCTGGGAAGGCTGCATGTGGGGCAGTGAGGAAGGGAGGAAGGCGTTGCCTCCGGGGGCTAGGTCCGCTGAACCATGCTTGCTAACCAGCTTAGCATCAAACACCACAGCCTCACAGCTCTCACATCCGAAGTAGAAAATTCTGGATCGTGTGAAGGTGTGCCCCTTTCTGGAACTTCAATGTTCTGTGCACTCTTTACGATAATGGATACTAAAAGACAGCCTTTCTTAAGGGCTTATCTCTTTTATAGAATGAGGGCCTAAAGCAGATATTTTCTAAGTGAAGAACTTAGGGAACCCTTTCTGATGAAACGGAAAAAAAGCTACAAGTATTACGGGTTCTGGAAAGCTCTGGGAACAATCAGGAGAGGTTACTGAGAGGTTACTGTTCTCCCTCTCCACCTCTATGCCGAGATCCAGGGACTCCTACCTAGTGGACGGTTTTCCTGGCTTCCAGTGGTCTTCCCAACTAAAGTAGAGGCTCATCAGGCACTATGTTGGGAATGGAGGGTGGGGGAAGGGTGTAAAATTTGGAGGTTATCTAACTTACTAGTCAAAGTCTAGAAATTGGCTAGAAACAGGAATATGATGACCATAGGACTAAAGGAAAAGGCCAATTAGCACCACACACTATGATGTGTACAAAATAAACCAAGCAAATCATCAGTCAACCTCAAGGGGCTCATAGGTGGGAGGAGGTGTGTGTAATAGAAAGGTACATTGATAACCCCCATAAGGGAAATTGTTATAAACACTATAAGAGAGATACAAAGTATAACACATGCATAGGGAAAGGGAAGGGTTCCTGCAGGACACATTTGACTTTTAAAGGATAGAAAGAATTCCGAAGAGTGACAGAGTGTGCTTGTGTGTGTGTGTGTCTGTGCAGGTGCATTTTACACACAGAGTGGTAAGGCAGAGAGCGCACTGTGAGCAAAGACGAGGAAGCGGGGGAGTCTGAGGCATGCTCAGAGCACAGGACATGGATGTTCAGAAAAATGCTACGTGGAAGACAGGACACAATGCATTTAAAACTTCACAAACACCCTTCTGCATACTGTTGATGAGTAATCGACCAGAAACATGTTAAAGAAAATACATTATTAACAGAGGTAATAGTGGTAGAGAACATCCAGTATGATATCCAATAAATTCAGATACCAAGTTAAAGAAGTACTTTTCTTGAATTTTCTGTTTTATCAAATCTAACCTTAAAATTCCAGTTTGGGACACTCAGGACCATTTGCATATCAACGCTTCATTTAAAAAAGTCATGTATGTTTTTTCTTGCCTGGCTTTCTCCCATTCAAGGGTCATTCCTTTACAGAGCAATGAGACACTTGTGGAATCATTTCTATTTTGGCAGCATCAGTCTAGAAAGATGCTCAGAGGTTCATTTTGTAAACTTGAATATGGGAATGATGTTTAAATGTCTGTATTCCTGAAGGTGCCTAGAACACCATCTTCTCTATAGTAAATACTCAAATATTCATGGGCGAAATGAAAGCCGGTAGGCAGAAACACAGACTAACAAACATTAAAAAGTTCTGTATTTCAAGTTGTTGTCACTTCTGATGGGACTACCATAATGGCCATCACTGCTACAGTCTCTTTCTCAGTGAACTTCCCTCCCCCAATTTCTTCACGCCTCGTTCTTCCCTTACATCCTACATTGACCCTTTTGATGCTGTTCACTTTATAGCCAACAGGTCACTCTTTTGGGCCTAGCAATATGTAGACTTATGCCATCATTCACTAGCAGGGATGGATCCTTGTTCTAAAGCAAGGGACCAGACAAAAGGTACATCAGTCCCATCTTTGCTTGGCTTCCATTACAGCCCAAGTGATCAGCACTGGCTGTGCTATAACTCTCAAAGTCCAGGCCAAACCCAAGCCAATCATACCAGAATCACAAGGGTGGGACCCAGGAATCAGTATTTTCAAAACTCCCCAGGTGATTCAAATGTGTAGTCAAGGTTGAAATAATTGCATGTGAGTAGTGTCTCTCAAACTTGAGTGGCTTCTTAAAACTCAGATTGTTGGGCTTCAGCCCTGGAGACTCTGACTCAACAGATCTGGGGAGGTGGTCCAAAATATGCCTTTCTAACAAGTTCTCAGGTGATGTTGATGTGGCTGCTCTGAGGACCACACTTTGAGAAGCCCTGCATTTGAGGGAGCTGTGTATGAAGTAGCTGTGTATGCATTTGAGGGAGCTGTGTATGAAGAAGTGAAACATCTTAGCGTGTGGGTTATACTGCCAGTCTCTCTGCACACAAGATGGTGGCCAGCCCAGTTTGGTGCTGAGGCATGAAGGACCAATGTTCCTTGTCTAAAACCACACCACTTGAGATGGGATGGGGTAAAACAAAAGACAAGCACTGCTTTGGCTTTTCTCCATGCTTTACTCCTGAGATAGAGGTTTGGGTGGCCAAATTAAAAAGAGGACTAAAGGATAAAAACCCACTATCCCAAAGTAGAGAAACATTTCCACCCACCCACTCATCAATGACTCAAGAATGGAAAATCATGGCTTACATCAAAGAAGGTGCCTGCATGCTCCAGGATCAGCTGGTTGGAATCAGGCTTGTTTTTACAGTAGGTGACGTACATCTGAAATTTGTCTGCCTGAAAAGAACAAAGGCAATGACAGGTAAGCGTCCGTTAGCTGCTCCCTTCTGTTGACTGTGCCTGAAGGACCCAGCAGGGGTTGTGTAGTTAAGCTCTCAGATGTTGTGTGGCACAGGATTATCTGTGGCAAATGTTCTGGGCTTATCTGCCCGTGTTCCCCTAACAAACTTGGGGATACTTTTCTCCTTTCTGAAGGTGGAGAAAGCTTGCTGAAAGTGAGCTTATTTTAATACTAGACTGTACTAGAAAGACTTTGAAAACCCAATTCATGTAACGTATTTTGAAGTTGGATAGAATTTGTTTAGACATCATCCCTTTTCTGGATTACCTACAATTGTCCTTCCCATCTTGAAAAATGATAGCCTTTTCTCTAAAAACAAAACTCAAAGAATGAAAATAAAGTGTGATCTCAGAGGAAGACCTGATTGTATCCCAAATGTCTCCATTGGGGGTAGTTTGTAGGCCATGCCAAGTGTCTATGCCATCATCTCCAATTTTCCAGAAGCAATGATGGGGGAAAGGAAAGCAAGGGGACCCTCTAGGGACAGGGATGAACAATGAGTCCTAACCCACTTGTAACTTCAAGCCAACAACCTTGTAGCTTGGCAAAAAAATCATTTCTTGTTTCTCTTAGTACCCTCTGGGTTAGTACTCCATGTCCCTGCTACTGGGAAAGGTGTGCATATGTTGGCCACTAAGTAGTTTTCCCATTTGTGAAATGCTGCCAGTGTTGGTGCCTACAGAACACCTGGGATATCCTCTTCTGAGACAGAAGCCCAGATAGATATGTGTTAAGTATAGCAGGTCTCATTCATGCCAGCACTATTCTCAGAGCTTCTCTTATATATTAACTCATCTGATCCTCCTGAGAACACTATGCAGCATCCCCATTTTACAGATGTGAAAACTGTGGCACTGTTTGGTTAAGTAACTTTCAATTCCCACAGTTAGAAAGTGGTAGAGCCCAGGCAAGCTGACTTCGTGCTTCTTGGTCATAACCACTGCCTTTCAGTATACTGAAACAACTCTTTCTAGCCTCATATGTGAAGATTATGAGACTTAACAAAGTCACCTTGGGATAATTCTGGGAAAAATGTGCCTATTTTATGCAATCATCAAAGGTTTTCTGAGACCAATTTTAGGGCTTATATACTACCTGGGAGGCATTTATCAGCCCTAGGACATAATGATAAATCCTACTTATGGCTGATTGTTAGGCAGATCCACAAATTGTATGAAACAAGATGTGAAAAAAAAAATCCCTTCACTTATTTTTTTCCTCTACATTGGCTGTGCAAGGGATCATAAATTGTTGATCAGCATTAATGTGAACTGTGCACAGGCTCATGTATTTAGAGGTAGAAAATGTATTAACACAAAGTCTGAGACTTCCTTAAGAAATGAGAGTATGCCAGGAAGCAAACACTAAGGTTTCATGTAAAGAAAACAACTCAGGTCTTGAGCTGTGGAATTGGCTGTGCTATTTATTACATGTCAGTGGACTAGTCAACCTCCTAGGTCATCTAAATTGTTTCCATCTATAAAATATAAGGCATAACTATAGTCCTACCTATTCCATAGGTTGTTGAGAGCATAAAATCTCTGAATCATGAATACATTTTGAAAAGTAGCCGATTTTGAGTGGAAATTATAATGAGATAATTATAAAATAGAACTCCTGACCCCAGGGAAGGATTTCCATGTTTAGTTGCACTTAGTATCACAGGTGGATTTCCCTGGAGATGTTTGCATTCCCGTCATGAACCTGAGCTCAGAATAACATGGTGTGGATGCTAATGGAGACTAATGTTCCCATTTATATAATTAGAACCTGGTACATTTAGCCCATTTACTTGGCCCATGACAATAGCACCAGGAAAGAAAATGACTAGACACTAATTTTGTAGGTCAGAACTGGGATGGATACCTATGGAATCTGTTTTTCTCTATGAAGGAAGAAAATGTAACCGATGGTTTGATGGATTCCTGAAGGCCTAATTTTGCCCTAATCCTAATCCTGTAAAAACAAAACCAATGGTTAGAACTGGAGTGGCTCCTCTATCATGGGTGGTGATCCTGTTCCACTCTCCTGATGTCTCAGTTTTAGAAAGTTCCTGGAGAACTCAATGTAGAGCTTGGACACAATGTCTAAAGACTTTTCCCAAGGAGGACTCTGCTCCTTGGGGATGGTCTGCTCCTCTCAGATATACTTGTGCCCCCTCCCTAGAGTCCCTGGCACTGTGTTAGAATGTCAGTGACACTAGCCCTCAGGTCAGGCAGCAAACAGTACGCCATCTGACACCATGTACCCTCCTGGAAAGGATGGCACAGTGGGAGAAGAAGCATTTCAGGTCAGTTACCCAGGTAACAAAGCAGTGTCCCACATCCTCAGGCAGCTGCTCATACTTCTCCAGCTCTTTGAGGAAGATGCTGCAAGGGGAGAGAAAGGCTGGATCAGACATCTCTGTACTGCCTCCCTCCCCACCCAGATGATTATGCTGCGGCCATCACAGCCCCGTAAGCTCTCCGTTATTTACACTTGGCTTCTGCATTCTTGAAGTGATACATGGTGAGGAGTAGTTTTAAATATATTAGAACTGTTTTCATTATAATTTACATTCATTGATTAATTAGTGCTACTTAAAATTGTATTATTTCTCTTACGGATTTACATTTCTCAGGTTGAAAAGAAATTAAATATTATACTTGTGTTGGGACTTTCATTTTAACTGCCACCATGAATCTATTTTTTATACAAGTAATCTGAATACATGGTAACATTAAAAAAATTTGTAAATACAGATATCAAAAACAATGAAATAAATATCATCTATGATCCCGGAGATGTAGTGGAAACATTTTGAATCCTACAGTAATTTCTTTCCAGTTCTTGGCTTTCTTCTTCTACCAGCAGGCACTTTGTGCTAAAAGTTATGAGTTAATGTTTCCTAATGCAGACATCATTAGGAAAGAAAATTCAATATGGAAAAAGTCACAATATATTTCAAAGCTGAATTGAATTACCAGGGAATTATCTGCCTCTGTGGATATCTATGCCATGGTTCCTTTATGTGTGAATAAATAATGAAGGGCTGACTATACCAATTTCAAGTTCATATATTAAACAATTGGATTGGGCTCAGAGAATATAAGCTCTAATGAGCCAGCATCACCAGAATGGAATTTGTTTTTTTTAAATCACACAGAAAGTTTTAGGGTGCCTGAGTAGCTCAGTTGGTTAAGCATCCGACTCTTGATTTCTGCTCAGGTCATGATCATGGTTTGTGAGTTTGTTCGAGCCCTGCATTAGGCTCTGCACTGACAGCGTGGAGCCTGCTTGGGATTCTGTCTCTCTCTACCCCTCCCCTGCTCTCTCTCTCTCTCTCTGAATAAATAAACATTAAAAACTAGAAATCACACAGGGGTTTTAAAATAAAAAATAATTATGATGCTGTGGGGAAACTCACTGATGGAAATGGAAGATATAATCTTTTCAAAGGGCAATTTGACAATACCTACCAAAATAAAAAAAAAATGTATACTTATCTTTTGTTTCTGCAACTTTAATCCTGGAAAATTTCGTATATATTTTAATCTACTTACGTAGAGGATGATGTAAACATGTGTATTCAATGTGTTACTGTTCATAATATTAAAAGGTGGACTGTAGGTGACAAAATAACCCGTATAGCCACAGAACCAGATAGTACACAGTTATAACAAAAATGACAAGGCTTCCTATGTTTTCACATGAAAGATCTCCAAGGCAGGCTGTTAAGTAAAAAAAGCAAGGTGTGGAAGAATGTATACAACATGCCGCCTTTTGTATAAGTAGGGAATATGTACTCTTATTTCCAACCCAAGAAATTAATGGTCAAAGGGTACAAGGTCAGTTATGAGAGGTAAATCGTGAGAGCCACTATAAGCATAGTACCTATAGCTAACAATATTGTATTGTACACTTAAAGTTTGCTAAGTGTACGCTTACATTGAGTGTTCTTTCATCATCATCATCATCACGATCATCATCATCATCATCATCATCATAGAGGGAGGACACTTTGGGAGGTGATGGATATGTTCATGGCCTTGATTATTGTGATAGCTTCATGGGTGTACACTTATCTCTAAACTCATCAAATTGTATATATTATACATGTACAGCTTTTTACATGTCGATCAAAATTTGCTATGGTGGTTTCTTTAAAAAAAGGTCATCAAACATGAACTATTAGGACTTGATCAAGATAAAAAGCTTCTGCACAGCAAAGGAAACAACAAAACTAAAAGACAGCCTGTGGAATGGGAGAAGCTATTTGCCAACAACATATCTGATAAAGGGATAGTATCCAAAATCTATAAAGAACTTATCAAACTCAGTACCCCCCAAAATAAATAACACAGTGAAGAAATGGGCAGAAGACATGAATAGACACTTTTTCAGACATCCAGATGGCTAACAGACACATGAAAAGATGCTCAACAGCATTCATCATCAGGGAAATACAAATCAAAGCCATGATGAGATGTCACCTTACATCTATCAGAATGGCTAAAATTAACACAGGAAACAAGTATTGACAAGGATGTGGAGAAAGGGGAACCCTCTTGCACTGCTGGTTGGAATGCAAACTGGTGCAGCTGGTCTGGAGAATAGTATGGAGGTTCCTCAAGAAACTAAAAATAGAACTACCCTACAATCTAGCAATAGCACTATTAGGTATTTATCCAAAGAATACAAAAATACAGATTCGAAATGGTACATGCAACTCAATGTTTATAGCAGCATTATCAACAATACAATATACGTTGTATATATATAATGTATATATACACACACATGCACACACAAACACACGTATATATATATATATATACACACACACACATACACGCACATACACATATACACATATATACATATACACAGGTATATATATACACACATACACATATACATACAATGAAATATTACTCAGCCATCAAAAAGAATTAAATCTTGCCATTTGCAATGACGTGGATGGAGCCTGAATGTATTATGCTAAGCAAAATAAGTCAATCAGAGAAAGATAAATACCGTATGCTTTCACTCATATGTGGAACTTAAGAAACAAACAGATGAACATATGGTAAGTAGGGGGGAAGAGAAGAGAGGGAAACAAACCACAAAAGACTCTTAACAAACTAAGGTTGCTGGAGGGGAGGTGGGTGGGAGATGGGCTAGATGGATGATGGGTACTAAGGGGGGCATTAGTTGTGATGAGCACTGGGTGTTGTATGGAAGTGAATCACTCCTGAAACTAATGTTGCACTGTATGTTAACTAAAATTTAAATAAAATAAATTTAAAAATTAAAAAAAAGTCATTACCATAGGAAACCAGCTAAAGGAATAGGGTAAAGATAGTGGTGAGTTGGAAATCCCAATCTATATTTTTAATTTAATTTTGAATTTTAAAATTAATTCAAAATTAAATTAAAAGATATAAAGCAGTTCTGAATCATTCCACTACTTACTTCCAGCATTGGAAAAAATAAATTGTATTGATTTGACCTACTCTGGCTCCTATTGCCCAAGCATTCTGGCAGTATCTGCTACTTGTGTTTCCCCTTCAACAACATAAAAAGATGTTGTTTTTAGTTTTAGTCATATTTGGAAGGCCAAAATGCTAATAATGATTGGTGGGATCACATGTAATTTTTTTGTCCACCTGCAATGCAAGTTTTTCTATAATAAATGAGCATTGCTGTAATAATAAAGAAAAGTCACTTAAAAATTTTGGGGGACTCTTAGCAATACCCATTTGAAGATAATCATCCTCCCCTAACGTGAATTTTAGAGCATCCTGATTTGACTCATGGAACAGAAGTAATTATAATGCAATTTGGGCTTTCAAAATACAAATATGCAGTGCTCAAAAATCAATAAAGTATCATATTTACTGACATGGTTTTTAATGTTTATTTATTTATTTTTAGAGAGAGAGAGTGAGCAGGGGAGGGGCAGAGAGAGAGGGAGACAGAGAATCTCAAGCAGGAGCTCGACGTGGGGCTCGAACTCATGAACCGTGAGATCATGACCTGAGTGGAAATCAAGAGTCAGACGCTTAACCAACTGAACCACCCAGGTGCCTCAAGTGATACTTTTAGAAGAACTTCAGGTGACATACATGTATTTAATATGACTTCTAAAACATAAATAGGAAAAAAATATTATATAATGCTGTAATTGAGGCTCAAACTTCTTTCCAGGCCAAAAAGGAAACATCCTTTTTTGCTGCAAGAGAAGCAGTCTGGCTCCCCACCATATCATGTCATCACTGAATTCTAAAAGACACTGAGGAGGGCACTGTTGGGATGAACACTGGGTGTTGTATGGAAACCAGTTTGACAATAAACTTCATAAAAAATAAATAAAAATAAATAAAAGACATTTATCATGTGGTCCTTCTCTGTGAGGAACACTAAATAATATAATGTACAACATCTTCATAAATACTCTTTCAGAAGGTGTTGAGTTATTCTTTACGTGGACATTTCTCATATAAATCTTCACTATAAATCTCAGTGAAGACAATGATTAGAACGTCAGCTCTGTCCCATGATGGACTGAACAGGGCCTGGGGTGTGGACTGGAATGGCTTGGTGACGAGGGAGGAAATCTGATGGGCTGTTCTAGGATAAGGACTGGTGAAAGAAAATGAGTTACTTTAAAGAAAGAAGGACCCAAAAGGAGAGAGGTCCTGGAAGAAGAGAGAGAGGGAAAAAATGGGTAATCCAAAGGTCCCTGGCAATTGGGATAAACTCTCTCAGCTTGTGGAAAACCTCTTCCTCCCCACTCTTGGGATGTCACTCCAGTCCCCTAAGCTCTGACTCCCACGGTATTTAGGCCCTTCTACGTTAGGGTGATCAAATAAACAAAACAGCCAGATCATGACATTCCACACAGGATACAACTCAGGGAGACTTTCCTTCTTTCCTTGACTTTTGACCCAAGGTCAGTGACCTGGTCACTTAAGGTTAAATTTAAGCAAACAGTCGTAATTATACCAACAGAACTGATCCTTGATCTAGATGCTAAAGACAGTGCTAGGAATTTTCTTTAAAATCCTGATACTCTCAATTGAGCAATCCCATGACTTTTTGTGATAGCAGCTATCAAAAACCTACGAGAGAATGCTCAGTTTGAAAATTCTGAAGAAATGAAAGCCCTGTAAAATGAGTTACATGCCTAGAATACTATTTGCATAATTAATGCCTTTCTGGAAAATGAAGGTTTTAGCAGCAACGGCCACTAGCCCACCCATCTACTGATCCTGTCTCTCACTTTCCTTTCCTCCCAGAGCCAAGCACAAGTTAAAGAGCCAGAGTTCACACTTACTCACAGTTGTGTGTGGGGGAGTGTCTTCTGACGCCTCATTTTTTGCATCTT